AATATGTATGTAATAAATATACATAAATCATTATATTAGACTTCTCAAATATTTTAAACATTTTATAATTATTTTAAACATTTTGTAATTTGTTAAATATATCTTCATTAAATTTTCTATCATAATTAAAAAGAAAAGACTTGGCTCAAAATTTGCTAAATATTCGCTTTACAACACGCTTATATTATATATGCGCGATTCAATTATAAACTGTTGTTTACAGTTTGAAACATCAAACTATTAATTATTCAATTTAATTATAAGATATAGCAAATTCCATCTGGTGAAAATATTATCGTGATTCGAAAGAGCATTCCATCCTCGCAGAATTTACTGGTCTATAAAATCTTTTTTCCTTTAACTCGCGGATTTTCTTTCTCCCTTCTCAGTTTAATATCGGAAACGGGCGCCGGCACAAGCGGAAAAGTCTTGCATGCATCTCTTCCGCGGCCATAAATGCGGCTGCACTCGATTCCTCGGAAGCGTTGGTTGTTCCTCTATTTTATGACGCCGCTATTTTTGCCCGGCTGAATCTATGCCAATGATATTTTTGTTGCGTTTTCACTCAGACAGCTGACAATCACACGTGTAATCTGAGGATTGTCTAATAGTTGCACTTACTTGTTACTATCCATACGATTTGGATCAAGTTTGTCTAGATTACACCTCGTCGATCATGTTTCTTTCATTAATTATAACATTACTCTCGAACACTTATTAGATAATATATTTAGATTTTTTTTTTTTCAAAAGTACTCATAAAGGAATATTCAACTGTAGGTTATACACAAAAAGAATTTTGTTGAAATATATAAAGAAAGCTAGATACAAGTTTGAAAATAATTTTGTTAGACTAAAATAATCCCATGTAGGACACTCAAGCATAATAAATAATGCTGCAAAATGTTTTGACATTCTAGTAACAAATTTAAGCGTCCTACATAATAATTTTAACAAATATATATATAGGTCTAACAAAATTATTTTTAGATTTATTCTAGCTATATTTTTAGATACTTAAGTTCTTTTATTACTCTTTTTATATATTGATTACGTATTGATTATTGTGTAAATATCAGATCTTTATGCTAGCAGGACTAAGCAAAATGAAATCGGATTTGTTGGAATATTTAGTATTTATTTTATATTAAATTGTATTATTAAAATTATATTATTAAAAATAATTTTGTAGTATATATATGTGCCATTTTGAAGAGAATGATGTTACAACTTAAGTATTATTACAATATTAAAGTGATATACTCATGATAACACCCTTCAAAAGTTAGGTTCCACTGCGCTCAGTGGTGATATTCCTGCCAGAGAAAGATAATTTTGTTGTTTATCCATGGCACGTACATGTAAAAAAAATGAATATAGATAACGCAGTTCATTGCTATACTTATAAACTCCCTTTAATTCACGTGATAGATTAACAAATGTTTACGAAAATTGCATTCTTTTCATAGCTCTACTTTCCAAATTAAAAAATTATAACATTTTTTTGTAATATCTGATTTATGTTCCTCCATTGTATGCTCGTTTTTTATTAACATATCTGCCAATTTAGATCATATAAAAATAAATAGACGACATATAAAAAGTACAGTTTTTAATTATTTATCTCACAAGGGAACTCATCATCATATCGATATTTAAGTTTTTCGTTTTTACTTGATAAAGTACTTCTTAAAACTACTCTTTCCATTTTATAAGTAAATGTAACAATTGCATTCAGAGATACGGTGATCTAATCAATTCACTAAAGTATCTCAAATTCTTAAGACAAAAAGGTTTCAACTCAAAGGTTACAAGGGAACGCGAGGTAAATTTTGATTATAATGAAACTTTGTGTATATAGGGTACGTAAAAAAATGAATTTAGAAAATATCAGTTTCGGAAAAATGTTTGAAATCACCTCTTTTATGTGTAAAGCGGTTTTTCAGCTTTTTCGTTATATCTCGGAAACTATTCCAGATATAAAAAATGTTTTACAAAAATTTTATAATAAAATTATCTCTATTCATGTCAATAATATTTTTTTAGAACAATTATTAAAATAATTTTTTTTCAAAAAAAATTTTTTTTGATAAAAAATTATTTTAAATATTATTTAGTTACTGGGGGAAAGAAATGATGATCTTAACTGACTTTGAGAAAAGGTCCTTAAGATTAGATCAGGGCCACTTAAAATTTCTTAATTATAACTTTATTTTTTTCTAGTGCTTGATAAAATAACTGATATGACTTTTTTATTTAAAATAGGAAATATAAAAGATAGATTTCAGAAATTTATTACTAGTTTAATAAAGTAAGCGTCGAGAAAGAGGATCGGTAATGATTGCTAAATTGGGTAGAAATAAATCATGTTTTTTTTTTTGTAAAAAATCTTTGACAGAAAAGAACTTAAATCGAGAAATAAAGACAGACTAAAGACTATTTATTAGAACATTTTTATTCTTTTCTTATAGGTATTATTTATCTGAACATTATATATAAGAACTATCATTGTTTTTGGCTTCAATACATAAATAGAAAAGAATGACAATAGTTACATGGCACTTTGTATGTAAATTACATTCCTCCAATAATTTTATGCAAAACGATTTTGTCTAACATTATGCAGGCGAAATGTGAATACGTAGCTTTGCTAGCTAGAAAATTGAGGTTTTCTTAGAGCATTGGATGAGATTCGTAAAATAGCGCATAAGATAATCTCGGCATAGATCTGGATTTAATAGATAATGTAATGTAATATAGTAATGTTGAATCAAGAAGAAAAAAATCTGATTTGTCGATTAAATCAACGCTACTTTTTTATGTTTCACTGCTGGCGTATCGCTACTTTTTTTATGTTTCACTGCCTGCTTTAGCGTTTGCTTCGCGTGTCTGCAGGACCAGGACAGGTCACTTTCTTCAAACTTTAACGAGAAGAATCAACAGGTGCTTCGAGGGTTCGTCTAATCGTACGACTAACTTGATCCTTTTTTAATCTATCGGCCGAATAGTGATTGCCGATATGAATTAGCTTCGATCTAGACTTACGCGGTGCCGGAACAAAAGAGCGAAAATTGCGGTATTAAAAATCACGCGAGAACTCCGAAATAAAACTGGTACGCAGAATTAGTTTCGCGAAATTTTTCGCTTATCATAAGGATAACGTAACTCGTCTCTTGGCAACAACGTAATTCAATCATACTTTTAATCCTCCATCAAATTGTTAATCCTCCAGTGCAAATTTTTTTGTTAAAGGGACGGATATTAATTTTTGTGTAAGTGAAGAATCTTGAAAATTAATGACGTTAAAAAACTTTGCTACTGAAACTACGAATTAATTTTGTTGTCTGTATTACCGATGAAGCACATATTCTGTATTTTTTTAATTTTGTTCGTTTTTGTTGTACAAAATCCTTTTCAGAATAATAAAAAAAAAGAACATGAGAAAAGAAATTGTTGGAAATTATAAACTGTATAAAAAAATTCCAAAAAATATAAATTACGATTTCTTATTACACGTACGTCATTATTTTACATAATATAAATTAAATGATTCTAAGTATATGTCCAAATAAAAAATAGTTTCATTTGAATAATGCAAGAATATAATAAGATCTTCAAATTATTATTTTGAAGCTTAATTATTAATGAAAAAGTACAATCTGAATGTACACGATTATTCATAGGATGCTAATTTAGATATAT